TTAGCAAAATATTTTGGGGTTTGCAGAACCAACTTCGTTTTCTTCACATGTATGCTACACTCCCACTAATTAAGTATTATGCAAAGCAAATTGTCTTCAGGAACCTGTACAACTTCATAGTCTTTATATTATGCTCAACTGGCACGTCTTCAATTGCATGACTTTCATCAGATTTGCACACTCATTGAAATGTGATAAACAATTCTGCCATGCTTAAAAGTAAAATTCAGCTTTTCCACAGCTGTATTCACTTTGCAGAGGAGCAAATATTGCTGAGTAAAACGACAGTGTATGTAGGTAGTCGGTTTTCAGAAGATAACCTCACAGAACGTAGCATTAAACCCAGACATTGTATTACTGCTAGGAATGAGCTGGAAAGTAAGTATATATGCATTCATGAGCTACAGTAATTTTTTTTGTCTGAGGATCAGACAGATGAATTTTGGTTGAATTCTTGTAGTTTGAAATACATTCAATGACACCATTATTATTCTTAAGAAACCTAGGCATCATAGGTGCTACTGCATACAGTTAAGTACTAGAGCAAAGGATCATTACACAAAGGCTTGGACTTTATTTTTTAGAATCTATTTTGTTGTTCAGTCCTATCCATCAGGCTTTTTAAAGAGATTTATATTTTACTGATTCCTCTTTTAGAATTTTAATTTCATTTACTTATTTAAAAGATTGTCTTTGGACTGAGAAATGAGCAATGCAGATGTTTCCTATTGACAATTGTGTTTTGCTCTTTAACGATTTCTTAAACAGTTCAGCATGTTTGTGGTATGGGTCCATGCCCACGTAGAGAATAAACCCTCAGCCCTCCTTCTTCCTCTCCAAGGCTGAATAAAGGCTGCTGAGATTGCTATGCCAGCTCTGGGTGAAAGGCAAGGGTGGAGACTTGGAGAAGTTGATGTCATGTGCTGGGGTCTACAGCTGGGGGAAAAATGCTCTCCCTGGGTGTTAATTATGTAAAAACAGGGCGATGAAGCATGTATTCTATAAGGGAGGTGAAACCCCGAGACCAAAATACCTGTGAGCACAGTGCATCCACCTATCATAGAATCATAGAGTCACAGAATGTTTTGGGTCAGAAGGGACCTGAAAGACCATCTAGTTCCAACCCCCCTGCCATGGGCAGGGACACCTTCCACCAGACCAGGTTGCTCAAAGCCCCATCCAGCCTGGCCTTGAACACTGTCAGGGAGGGGGCAGCCACAGCTTCTCTGGGCAGCCTGTGCCAGTGTCTCACCACCTTCACATGGAAAAATTTCTTCCTAATACCTGATCTAAATCTCCCCTCTTTCAGTTTGAAACCATTACCCCTCGTCCTATCACTGCACTCCCTGACAAAGAGTCCCTCCCCACCTTTCCTGTAGGCCCCCTTCAAGCACAGAAAGGCTGCTAGAAAGTCTCCCTGAGCCTTCTCTTCTATCTTTGCTTTAGGTTAGGCAACTTGGGTACCAGGAATGGTTTGGTTATGGCAGAAGGGATCTTTGCACAGAGCAACTGGAGTGTACTTGGGTGCTCAGTCAAGCCTGTATTATTTTGTGTGAGCACAGGATAGTCACCAGCTTGAAGCTAGATTGAAAAGTCTATTCCACAGTGAAGGCATAAATGAACAGTATGAACGTACGCTACCGCAATGTTTTTTGCTTGCTTGGTTCCTAGGGGGTGCGGCCAGGTTCTACTTCTTACACAGGACAGATGCAATTATAAGCAAGCCCAAATATCTGAAGAATTCATGTGTAAAATATTTAAATGACTAGAGGAATATATTTATTCTTCTTTATCAAACTTAAAATAAAAGCAATGAAAGGTTAAAGATTTTAGGAGTCCAAACCAGTACTTTATATTCATTCATTTGCCAGGCCTATGAATCCAAATACAAACTGTTCACTATTTCAACAGGTTTTTCTTTTTCCTAACTGGGATTTACCAAACGTTAATTTACCAAGTTGCGATGTTTTCATATTAATATAATGTCTACTTATTAATTTGGCTGTCAAATGAGATTTATCTAATTTCTGTAATTTTTTGAAATTTCATTCCTGTATCAATATTTGTCCTTTCTTGGGGGGGGGAAAGAATATGCATACACTGAACTATAATCTGTTCCACAGCCTATTCAAGCTGTTACTTACATACTGTACTGCAAAGCATCTGAAAACAAAATTACATATTTCAGCAAATCATCTATTTATCAGACATTTCTATTAACTGCAAGTGTGTAGTGAGAAGGTACAGTAGTGGTTTAATATATCATCAAGATAGACAATGTTTGAATGTACATGTTAATCTACATTTTTAGGAATTACAAATAAGACACCAGTGTGCACAGTACTTTAAAATGCAGTGAACTTCTCTTCTAGTTGCATTGACAATACCAGTTCCTTACACAGTTGAATCTGGTTAAAAGTTCTATCCCCAGTGTAACAAATGTGACACTGCAGGTACAACATTGACAGCAGAGATCATTAAGGCTCTGTTTGGATGATTGTTTATTTCTCTGTGCATACCTCCCCTCCACTCCCCTCTTCGCCTAGTCCCTTCCCTCCCTACACACCCGACTTTTTTCATACAGAACAAAAAGCTCATTGGCTCCAGAGTATTCAGGAAGAAAAGTTTAAGGTAAAAGATTTTAACATGAAAGTAACAAAACGTGTAATGAAATGTAGATTCATAGTAATAGCAATACCCGGTACTTATAAAGCTGTATTAATATTTTAATTATTTCTTTTTGGTATGGCAGAACAAACCAGTCTCCACAACCCATGGTGCTAGACGCTCTACAACAGATCGCACACAGAGAAAAGAGTCTAGACTGAAGATCATACAGTCAGATTTGGTCTCAGCAGTCTTTGTGAATTTGAGGAAGAACCATCATCTCCGTTTCTGAGATACAGGTGGTGAGGCACAGAAAACATAAATGCCTTGCTCAGAAACACACAGTGAACCAGTGATAGACTTTGGGTCTGTTGACTCACCAGCCACCGACTTATTCCTTGGCCCATTCTGTCCTCTTAAACAACTAAGAGAAGATCTGAGATGCACAACATGGGCCTAGTATCATAGGGGAATCCATGTCAAATGCACACAGCCTGATTCTGCACTACCTTTTGGCATCTGTAGTCATGTTTACTTAGTAAAGAGGGCCTAAAATGCCCTCAAATCAAAATTGATTTGGTGTAAACGACTAACATATGTAGTGTAACAGAGAATCAGGCTCATAGCAATTTGTGGCATGCTGAGACTACAATTAACTAACTGTTTTAATTGCTAATGAATTAAGGCTGATTCCTGTTTATATTAAGGCCTCTGTATCCTTCTATGACAGCGTAACTGTGCCTTAGTGCAAGTGACACTCAGGCTATTGAAGAAATTAACCTTTCAGTTCCCTTTGAAGTCAATAATTTTAGTGGCCCTAAACAAATAAAATAACTGGAACCAAACAACCTGTCTCTATACTATGGAACATTTACAAAAGAATTGTAAAAGAACCTAAAAGCAACTTGAGGGAAAACTGATTATATGTTTGTTGAAAAAAAAAAGTTAGATTAGATGGACTTGTTGCCTGGCTTGAAAATGGAGAATTGTAACATGATAACACACCTTTATATGCAGATAATTGGCTTGACGTTTGGTGGTTATGAGTATGCCCAGATAAATTGTAGATGCTTATCAACTCTGGAGATCAAGTCATCCTGATATACTACTACAGTAAAATAGAAAGAGACATATTTGGTATTTAAGTGCTAGACATACAGGGCATAGTTTGCATAAAGCTAGTGTGTGTTATATTCAGAGGAGTAGGAAGATGACCTCAAGCTCAGTAAAATGCTACATGATCACAGATTTCTCCTATTATTATTGTTATTAAAAGCTATTATGTGTTGCTTTCTTAGAATAGGGGTTCTCCAACTTTGCTCTCTGTAGCCGAGCATTATTTTAGAAATTCTCTCCTCTCCAAACACTCAATTCATAACAGTCTTGGTTTTAAAACCTTCTTTTTTTAGACAACAGTTTAACATTTGCTGGCTGAGAATAAAACAAACCTTGCTCTATTCAAATATAAGGCCTGGGTCTGCATGGGTCGCAGCACTTTTTAACTTATTCTTACTTTTAGTTAGAAGTAGTTATTTTTTTAAAGCTAATATGGAATTTGTTCGTGTAAATTAACATAATTCCCTAGGCATCAGTCTGGCTATGAAAATCATCCAGCTGAGGATCCAGCCACCGAAATGTAACTCCAGTGGTCAGGAAATCTGCTTTGTATGCAAGTCAAATAACAGCTGGATCATAGGTGACGTTACGTTTAGTTTCATTGGCAATTCAGAAAATACTTAATAATAAATTTCATTACTTCTATTCCCCATTTTCATATACAAATAAATCATCTTTTCTAAGACATTCTTTTTCTTTAGTAAGGCTTATATTCATAGTTGTATCAAAAGTGTTTGCTATTGGAGCAATCTTTCAGCTTGCTTTCTTTAGAGTTATCTTTATTATGAAATTCTACAGCATTCTAAATTTCAATGGTCATTTGCAGCCCTGCACTTGAGTAAAGAATCACATTTAAAAAGTGTAAGTTACAATATTTTCATGTCCAAAACTAAGGCAGGATGAACAAAAGTAATGAGCTCACCTGATCCTCACTAGGCAAGGCTTGATTTTAAACAGTATTCAAAACACAAAGCCCAAGAGAGGATGTTGTCACAACGATTATTGCGCTTTCTCAGTGTCTTGCTACAGGATTAGTTTTTCCTTTAGCAATATATAATTTCTTTTCCTAAAGACCACACAAAGTTATTGTACTCTGAAAAGAAAAAAAGCACTTAAAGTTTTATGACGTTGTGACCTAGACAGAAGGATACAAAACCAAATTACCGTTCTGTGATTCAGCTATGTCATGATCTAATATTGTTTCAAAATTATTATGCTGTTATTTAGGTTGGCATCATCTCCTGAAGACCCGATGTGCTCTTTGGCATGCTACAAACTCAGCAGATGCACTGTCTTCTGGGCTTTACAGCTTCTTCTGACGAATGTACAACATTTGGAACAAAGCCACTCTTGACACCTTCCCATCCATCTTGTATTGAGATTTCTCCTTTTTTTACAAGTTCATAGATGTCTCGTGTAAGAATTGTAAAGGACTCTTCAACATTTGTGGCATCTTTTGCTGAAGTTTCTATATATTTCATACCACATTCAGATGACAGTTTTTCAGCTTCTTCTCTCGTAACCTCACGCTGTGACACTAAGTCACATTTATGTCCTACTAACAGGAACACAATCTGAAAGGGCTGCACATGCATTTTTGCTTCTTGTAGCCAGTCCTTCACATGCTCAAAAGATCGTCGGTTTGTGATGTCAAAGACCAGTAAGCCACCCACAGAATTGCGATAATAAGAGCGTGTTATTGATCTGTGAAGAGAAAAAAAAAAGGAAAATTAAAATACATTTTCACTTTAATCATAAATAGATGACTTTCCCATGTGGTAATGTGGTTTTATCTACTGTAAGTTTTATGAAATACCTTTGCTTTTTTAAAACTAATTTGAATTTATCAATTCACCTTCTCAACACAAAAATGTTTCTTTTTCACTTTTTTTCTGACATTCAGAAGTCACTTTCTAAACATTCTTGAAGCCAACATCTCTAGTGTGAATTCTGAAGCTGAATTATCCTGCAAAGTACTCTTTATTAGTGAACTGTGGCACACGTTCACAGAATAAAATATATATATTTATTTGTCAAATACTTGTTGGTGTTAAAGTCCAAGTCCTTTTGTTTTATACAAACATGCACTTTACTGTGTTCCAGTCAATTATTTCAAACTGAAATATGTAGGCAGATGTCGAGAAACCTGGAGCCTAAGCTTCCCAATGTACAGGCATACCCTTTTGTATTCCTTGCAGAAAAACTCTTTGGTAGTGAAGTTCGTAGAGATAATCGTAATTCTTTGTGCTTGCAGAAGTCAACAGGTAACAGACTAAGAAAGGGAACTCCCTAAAGAAAATTGTCCAAAAGTAGCTGAGGTGGGCAAACACACCTTCTTACAGCATTGGCAAAGGAACACTTCTACCTCCAGCATCTCTCTCACACAGAGGTTCAAAAGCTCTTTATAATTGCATTTACTCTTCTTTGGCATGAGATTTCCAGGACTGGCAACAGATATTTTCTACTTTTGAGCCCTCTACTTTCTAGAGCATTCACTGGAAGGAATTTTGGAAGAAGGAAACCCTTCCTCTGGTTGAAAAGGTTTTTCATACGCCCTAGAAGAAGAAAAATGCTTGTTAGAACGTAGAGAGAGAGAGAGATACAGGGACACAAAAAAAATATTCTAATTCTCTAATCATGAGCAATAGGGGACGATGGAGAAGGTGAAAGGAGATATTTTAAAGGAAGTGGCAGCCTACCAAGGAGTGGATGCAAGCGCTTGTTATTACCATGAATATATAGCTAGTGTATATAGAAGTGTTCTCCAACTGAAATGAGATGCACAGTCTCTATTAACAGTCCTAATTTGAAATTATAATTTAGCCAAGAATTAATTTCATTTTATCTTATGACCATGAAGAGGATGCAGCCTCAAAACTTTTGGAATCAGGATGAACTGTACACCGTAACCTCTCTTTCCATAAGAGTAGCTCCCTCTGATTTTCAGTTCATTGCATTTCACATAGTGTTTTATAACAGTTCGAACATAGAGGTATAATTAGCAGCAGTAGTTGTATTACAGATAGGTAAGTGCACAGCTAGATAAGGCTTAGGTTTCTTGGCATATCTAAATTCATTTAGCCACTGCAAACAGCATTTGAAATGGTTTTATTTAGATAACGGGGAGGGATTGTTCGTCCTAATGTTTAGAAAGCTCTTTCCTACGTTCAAGAGCCCATGGAGTGCCTCTCTGAACAGCTCGAATGTGAAGAAAATACGATCTTACCCTCAGATTAATTCAAATAGCCTGGAGATGAAAAATGATACATGGTTTTGCAAAATTATTTAAGACTATAAATGAGGTGTGTCATGTTTTGTAGAGTATTAAATAAAGGTGCCACAAAGATCCGTTTCAGGTTTTCTTAAGCATTTTTTTGCTGCAGAGCAGTTGCAAACAGAAATGAGCACATTAAAATAATTCAAGTGGTTCTAGAAAAAAAAGAAGTGGGTGACAAAAATGGGATTCGACTTGGAAGCTGATACAACCTATTTTCATTTTTAAAAACCCCCTTCAAAACAGTTATGCCAAAGAAATGCATTAGCCAGCGAAGAAAGAAAGTTAGTATTGAAAATCAGTGCACTGTCCGCCCACCGTTTCGGTACAGAATGATGTTATACATGTGTCTGTGAACTCGAGTACTGAGAAACAGCCCCCCACATGATACTGCGTGCTTAAGCACAGCAGTCAGCACCCTCACCTGTTGTAACTCACTTCTGCAGAGATACGCTAACTTACAGTAGCTGATGATCTAAGACAGTGCATTTAATTACGTGTACGTATTGCCTGTAACGGAGGTGATTAAAAAGCATCTGTAACTTTGGGCTGTACATCACAAAACCGGGGTGAATATACAGGAGAGACAGCCGTCGTTTTTTCTATCTTTTTGGTATGTATAATTTGAAATTAATTTTCTCAATACCAAACAAAGTTTGATATACTAGAGAGGCTTTGGAAAATAGTAACAAAAGAAAAAAGTAACACAAAAAGTTTTAAAGACACATATGATACCATGTTACATGATTGTCTAACATCTGAGAAAAGGATGACATTTGTTAAAATGTGGTCTACAAATAGTGGAATAGTTTTACTATTAAGGTAAGTTATTATTTGCAGTTATATTTTGAAAGAAAGTGACCTGTCACCAGTTCCTCATCCTGACTTGAAAAACTTGCAGGTTTGATGTAGTCCGACTTATTCATAAAGTTCAAATTTCCATTTGTCAAATTATCCCTATGCAGATCCTAAATTCCTGTTGAAATGATGGCCTCTCCTGTAAACTCTGGTTCAGCTGACTAACGTCATTAAACTAGCATTATGGATGGGAACGTGTTACTTGCAGCACCATGATTAATCTCCTGTGGCCAAGGAGGGAGAGGGGAGTACTTCCTTTAGTAGAGGGAAAGCCTTAAGTTAGAGACAGGGTGGGATTATGGTGAAAAAGTAATGGCCGAAGAGCAGCCTTTCTTCTAAAACTGGGGAGACAGCAACGGAGCCTGCCTTCTCCTTCCAGGAGTCTGTTCAGAAGACATGCTGGTTGGAAGTGGGAAGCAGAAATCCATTCAGATTTAGAATCTGGCAAATCTGCCCTTGACTTTGAATGAAAGGAGGACTGAATGCTTAAATCTATCCCTGCATCTGTCTTTATTCACGTGTCTTCTCTCTCTGCCTAAACACTTTGGTTTTCTTCTATTCCTTTGTGCCCAGTACTTCCTTCCTGCCTCCTCTCAGCTTCTCTTTCACAGCAGACTCTGAACCCTTCTTTAAGTGACAGCTAATGGAAGTGCCCAAACCAACGGGTCTGCCTGGGCCTTGGTTCCAGGCGCAAGCTAGTATTTCAGGAGGGAGTGTGCCTGCTTCCCACCGCTACACCAAATGGAAGAAAACAACCCTCCTACCCGAGAGAGGTGACTGTAACCCCTTGGTGACCTGACCAGAGGCCTACGTGGCTGTGCAGCTCCTCTGTCAGGATGGAGTGTGCCTGTCACACCAGCCTCTGGTGATGGGTGTGCTACAGCCTCCAGTCGGGCCACACTAAATAGGTGAACTATTACACCACCTTTGTCTGAGAGTTACAAAAACTGATGTTAAGCATTATTGAAAAGGTAATTCTTATTTTCTCCCCCACCTCATATAAATACATAGCGATTCCAAAGCTCTTTATCTATGCTGTTGTTAAATATGGACTGTCCTGGCACCCTCAAGACCATCCTAAATTTTTATTTTCAGAAAGAATACTTGTATGAATAACATTTTTGCTTTTTTTCATATAATGCTTGGCATTTGTAAGAAATGAATGGTAAATGCAGACAAAGGCTTGAAGAAGAACAGTTTTTCCCTATTAGAACACACTAAAAAGGTAAGACTGCACTAAGTATTAAAAGGGAACCACGACACTTTGCTGTTGAATGCTGCAAGGTTCCTCCAGATGGTTCCGTATTTGAAATTGCTGGAGGTGAGACAGCACCTCAAGAAGCTATAAATTGTGATGTACAGTAATGACACGTTAGAACGTTTTTCCAAGGAGTTACTTTGAAGTCTTTAGTTTTAATTGGGAGTATTTGTTAAATGCAGATCCTAAATTCTTTTGTAAATTATGACTTCCCATGTAGAGTATGTGTTTGTTCTGCTAATTCATTCTGCCTAAACTACCATTACGGAAGGGGAAAATACTGTCTAGAACAGAAGCAATTCTCTTCGCTTAATCTAAGTATGAGGTTCAAGATCTAAGACCCTAATTAATACTCTCAAGAAAAGATGATGGCCATTGAACAATTGTTTCTGAAAACAAACGAGAAGATGTATTTATGACATGAGACTATGGCTTTAGGGTGACTTTAAATCAGTGCCAGTGTTTCTTTCTCATTATGATCTTACTGATCTTTACCAGAACTGAACTTTCACTAAAAGCTTTATCTAATTTTGAAGACTTATTTTTATACTATGACTGAAGAGTACATCGTAAGGGTAATAATTTTGAAATTACATATTGCTTACTCAAAAAGAAGAATAAGGATAGTGTTTTATTTTCAAGTCATGTGTTAGAAACAGAATGTATCTAACATCATGGCTTACTAAAAAGTGGGTTAATATAATTGAGGCATCCCCGCAATATTTTGCCCCTACATTCTTGAAATGAACTCTCAGTCTCAGCAGCACTACCAAGCACTTTATAGACTTGCAAGTTTTATGATTTAAATATATTGTTGGATTTAAATACAGGAAAATTAAACAAACAAACATAAAAATCACAGCAAAGTAGATGATGTGAAACACAGCCAAAGCAGCCGATTGCTCTAAATGACAACTAATCTCAAGACAGAAAGAAACTGTGGGTGTACTCCTCATTTACCTTAATCTGCGTTACGGACCCGAGTCTGTAGGTTCTTGTTCTAGCAAGGTGTTAAAGTCATTGATTATGTGGTTGTGGTCTGTATGGCACCTAGCACAGTGGCAGATTCTGCTTAGTGATGCCTTGCTGATGTCAGAGGAAATATAGTTGGTAAGTGCTCTGTCTGAGCTCAAAATAAGTCAACTGACAGCACCAGCGTCTGCAGGTTGCTCACCCTTCTTGTGGAAGCGGTGAGAATTACTTTATTTGAGAAGTAATGCAAACAGTGCATATTAACGATGATTTCTAAGACCATGCATGAAATCCAGTTCAAATACAGCAGCATCAATGAATTAGACACATGTAAGAATTTCT